TTTCATAACAACTCTACAACATTATTATCCTTTTTCACTCTCATTCTCTCATGAATGTACAGCAGAGCTTTCCAGAGCCACAGTGATATATGATAACACAATAGACTGAATACAGAAGCACATAAGAAAATCCAGTTGTTTTCTATTAAACAAACATTAAAGAGATTTGCACACAAAAAAGTAAAACAATGGCACTCTTCTTTTTGTTTTAGAATTTGTTTAAAATGTCTCAGGTTTAATATCTAATCCAGTAAATATTAATAGATATAACTTGCATAGAAAAAGCTCTTTGGAGTCTTCAACTTTTAAGTGTAAATGGGTCTTAAGACCAGTAGTTTGGAACAGTTGATTCATATCTAATCCTCAACTTGTGAGGTAATGGTTCTATTTTATCATTAGTCTCTTAACACAAATAAGAACACAAGTGACAAAACAGACACAGGCCTTGCTTGCTCAAGATCACATGAGGCATCTCTTAAATCAGCATTTGAATACAAGTCTGTAATTCCTCAGTCTAACTCCTCCTCACCACTGAGCAACAATATCTATGCTTAAAGAGCACTTTTGGATAGCTACATATTAATTCCTGTTTGAAAGGTAATATTCTACATTAGGTCTCTACTATTTGTCTTTCAGTCTTAAAAAGTAATGCATGCTCATTGGAATGCTTTAAATATAGAGTTAACTTAAAAAAAAAAAAATCAAACGCAACAAAAATAACCTCCCATCACCACCAAAACTGTAAGCACCCACTAAGGAAAACTACTGGTAAGAGTCTGTGCCTACTCATCCAGGATTTATTTATATACATATACACATATACTTTTTATCTACTTAAGTACAATTTTTTAAATGAGATCACACTGATTTAGCAATCTGCCTTATTTCCCCTAATATTTCTGGGCGATCTTCCTGCATCTACCAGTAGATTTACCCTCTTTTTTATAGATTACTATCATTTACTCCTATCCAATTGCAGTCTCCTATACAGCTTGTTTCCATTTTTTTTGCTGTTAGAAAACAGTCACAAGAAATATGCTGCATCTTTGTGTATTTGTGAAGCCATATCCACCGGAAAATTCCTAGAAGTAAAATTTCTGGGTCAAAGGATATAAACATTTAAAATTTTACTAGATTTTGCTCAATGCCCTCCAAAATGTCCGTGCCCAATTTACATTCTCATTAGCAGCATATGAGATTTCCTCCAGCAACTGAGCTTTTAAGCACCTTAAAAAATTATCCTATATGCTGCTTCCAAACGCCAAGTAATAAAATTGTTCTCACTGGTCATCTTAATTCCATACAGAACTCTATACAAATCTTTTAACACTTACAGAATGTATCAGTACAGTCTTCCATTTTTAGTTTTTCCTTACACCTTTTAAATACCGCAAAAAGAGAAAATACACCAGGTGCACACAATACTTTCAACCAGTAAACCCTCAGATTTTAGATACCCTGATAAAAAGTTACCCAAATTATTTCAGAGGATTATTTAACACAATCAGAACTACACAGTAAAGCTGGGCTCAAACACGTAAATCAAAGAAAAGTTATGTGTGGTTTTATTATGTTTTATCTGCCCACTCAGTGAACTAAGGCTACAAATAAAAAGCTATCAAATCATACCAGTGGCCAAATTAGCCTACATAAAATAATAAGCAACAGATTTGATATCATAAATGTCAATGGAACAGATTGTAATAGTAAGGATGGCTGTAATTGAAAAGAAAGTTCACTCAAATTCACATCATATTGAAAATGAAAACATTAATATTTTAAATGAAATGTTTTGAATGTGACTATTCATTTCAGTCAAATCAGGCTATTATAAATCTTTGGTGCCAAGATATGGTCTTTTTTTGCAAGTAGATAGTTTTAAAATACATTATACTCTGACTTGCCTATTCTGTAATGGATAATGGATATTCCAGGCTTCACTATTTTGTCAAAATCTCTTTTCTAGGACTTTGTGCTGGTAGTTTTAAATTTAAAGTCTCCAATACATCTTTGAGACAGAGTAAAACCTCATTAACTCAAGTCCAATTAGCTCAATTCTGAAATGGTATATGTAATTCTCATTAGGCAACAAGCTGAAAATGCTATAATTTCTTCCTCTACAAGGTCTCATAATATTACTGTGAAATAAAGGAAATCAACCTGAAAATTAATTCACTTTTCCAAACAAAAGATTTATGAAACTAAGGACTCTACTCATCTATTTTTGTGGCCAAGGAGTTCATCCTCAGTTCTAAGGTTCACTTCTGTTTATCTGCTACCATATATAGTGAAAATGATTTAACTTGTTATTAATAGCCATTTAAAGTTTAGAGTCCGTGCATTTCTTTTAAAAGTTTTGTAACTCAAATTTTTCACAATGCCATTTTTGCAGTTCCTCCCATTTTCAATCCTAACACTGACAGATTTATAATATCGCAAATGCAGCACCTTAAAAGGTACAGAAGTAGACTTAGAAACGCCTGGCATTCTTATTCTGTATCTATTCTTATCATTTTGAAAGACACTATAGGCCAAAAACTAAGTCCTAGGATTAGGTGGCATGTTTGGTGTTACATGAATTTACAACTAACTATTCCCAATGAACAGGGAAACCTCTTGCAATCTGAATCATGTGTAATTACAGTATGACAAGGTCTCTCCTGGGCTATGTTGGCTGGCATTTTTCCCAGGACTTGTCACATCATGGGAAGCACGCATACAAATAAAAGTCCAAAAATAAACATTTTAAACAATGGCTTATAGACTACATAAAGAAACTCCACAGTTGAGAATAAAAATTGAAGAGCCCTACGGACAAGCTGACATCTCACTAGAGATGTCTGGGAAGACAGTGTTACTGAGTGTCTCACCACGCCTAGCAACAACTCCCAGGTGTGGGCTATACGGGCAGCACCCTCACATTCCCTCAGGCTGGACAGAAAATCATTAGGTATGGGAAATAAAGGGGAACATCACCACACACACACACTGAAGCAGAAAATAGTGGTGAAATATGGGGAGGCTGATCATTTTTAATTTCATAAGGCCAATTTGTTGATTGTTAAAGTACCTAAACAAAGTTATCTTAAGTGCTACATCTTCGGCCAACTGACTTAGTTTTCCTAATGCAATAAATATGGCTTTTTGTGTTAAGCATATTTCACCTCAAAGTGAATAGCAACCAAGTAATGGTAACAGTGTATACCAAGGGACCTCAGAAGGTAGTTTCTTTTGTTTAAACTCCTCTGCAGTAGCTCTATGAACACATGGAAAAGGGAGAGTGAAATTCCGAGCATCACACTCAACCTCATATAGTGACAAAAACTTGACAATACTCATCCTTATCACAGTTTTGAGGAAATATGAAGTATTATACACCTGGCTATATTTTGATAGAAAATGCTAACAAAATCTAGATGTTATTTGCTATAAGCCATGCACATTCCTATCCCTCTATTACAAGCTGAATTCATTTATTAACCATCCAGCAAAGCCCATCAAATTCAATTCCTCAAGTTTTCAAGAGAAGATATAAAACCACTAAAGGCAAAACCTACAATCCTATGTCCCATTATGTGTGGAAACAAAAATAAGCATCAACACAAGCCTCTGCCATCTCTAAGGCACACAGTATTTCTCTTTTCTTTATTCCGCCCTGAATGTTCAATAATTTCCATGTAGCTCTAAGCAGAATGGATTTATTATGATGTTATCCTAAGAAACTGCAGGAGTTCTAGATGCCAATAAAGATTACGGATCAAATGGAAGATAACTACTAACCATTGTGTCGACTTAGATAAATAAACCTGCTCACAAAGCACTTTATTGTAGTTATATTGTTACCTCCACTAATCCAACTAAAACAACCAGACAGTAGCTTTCCAGAGGCTGAAGGGAATAGAAATCAGTTCTCAAACCCTCTCTCAATTTTTTTTTTTTTAATAACACCTCGTTTCTTATCTTCAAAACTGTCCTATCCTTTATGGAAAATGTTTGGGACCGAAGAGGCTGAGCAGGATTATGCAAACTAGACATCAAGGCTAAAAACCAAGGTGGGGAAGGAATAAAGTACCAAAGCAAGCCAGAGGCTGAAGGGAATAGAAATCAGTTCTCAAACCCTCTCTCAATTTTTTTTTTTTTAATAACACCTCGTTTCTTATCTTCAAAACTGTCCTATCCTTTATGGAAAATGTTTGGGACCGAAGAGGCTGAGCAGGATTATGCAAACTAGACATCAAGGCTAAAAACCAAGGTGGGGAAGGAATAAAGTACCAAAGCAAGAACACC